CCAAGGGGTCCCGGATTGAAGAGGGTGCAGGCTGGGCTGAGGGTACCCCTGCCCCCCCATGCATGAATTTCGTGTACCAGGCCTCTAGTATTTAAATAAGTATTTTTAAAATTTAGCCTCTCAAGAACTCACATTGGCTAAATATGGTATAATTTGAGCAGAAAAGGAAAACTGTTCCAAATGATTAGAACACATTAACTAAATAAAAGCCCAGGAAGCTATGAGAGGAGGGAAGTACTGGAGGTGGAGGTAGAGGGAGGGTGGGGGGAAGGGAGGGAGAGAAGGGGTCGGAGGGGGAGGGGGAGAGGTGGACGGTGAGGGAGGAAAGTGCTTGTTTACAGGAGTGGAGGGAACAACAGCGGTAGGAAATCATCATTCTGCGATTCTCATATGATAACTTAGGCAGCGAGATGCAAGAGGCACTAACATAACCAGGATAAAGGTTACTGCGAAAGATGACATACACAGGATGTCACAGTAGGACTCCATGGGTTTCATGTTAATTGCAAAAGGAAAACTGTCCCTTAGAGTGAGTCACTATCTTAGCCAAGTGACCAAAATCCGCTTCACTGACAGCAGGACAGCGGACACCATCGGCCTCCGGAGGAGAGGCAACGTGACACACAGCACTGATAGTAAATATTCCAGCCAAATATAGTAACAGCCTGATCTCATCAAGCCTCAGACTTAGCTTCCAGTCCACAGACAACACACAGATGAGCAAACAGTATGACAAATCCAGAAAGTTAGACATTTTACAAGATAACTGGCCTGGACTCTTCAAAAAGTCAAAGTCTTGTGGAAAAGGATGAAAGAAAAAAAAAAAAGGAAGAATGAGGAACTGTTTTTTTCTAGAGACCCAGGAGACACCACCAAACGCAGCGCATGAATCCTGGTCGGATCATGATTGAAAAATGAACACGCACACACGCCTACAAAGGCCCTTCTGTGACCACGGGGACGCCAGAGTGGCGACTGACATGAGAGCCTATGAAAGGGGTTTTCTGCGAGGTGTGATGCTGTAACTGCTCACGCAGTGAGGTGGCCTTCCTCTTACAGCAGGCACGGGGAGGGTTTAGGCTGTGATGTCTGCTGTGTTCTTTCAAACGGTTCAGCAAAAACTGAAAATCTCCATCTGCAGGTCAAACCAATATTGTCAAAATGCTAACTGCTGACTCCAGTGGAGGGTGCAGGGGTATTCACGTCTGAAATACTCTTCACCCAAAGTTGTTAAAAACCCCACCTGTCAGCGGCTTGATCACACACTACGCGCACCATCTCCTTTCTGCTCTTCTGTTTGCAAACGTCTTGCTCTGTGACAAGGACCCACAATCACTTAGTGGGATCTCAGTTCTAGAGGGTAAAACTGACAGCCAGAGGGTGAACTTTCTTACAAAGTCATTCCATGCTACGACTTTAAACCCTGCATTGCATGTTTACTGAGCATACGCTGAGATGAATTCCTGAGACACTGAAAAAGTTCAGAACACCTAAAGCCAGATGCCGTTTTACTACTCCAAAAAGCCCCTTTTAAAGTTGACATAGATGTTTCTAGAAACTCATTTATCATATAATAGGCACTGAAGGCATGAGGCAAAGCCACAGGCGCTGGCCAAGTGGCGGTCACAAGACAATACCTTTATTCTCGTGACACGCTCCATGATGTAGTGTGAAATGCTTAACAAGTGATTATTGGGGGTACAAAGAGTCCACAGATTACTCAACAATTTTCAAATCATGTTGAGTTTTTGAAATAGAGTGATTTTTTTGTCACAGTTTCTAAAGTTAAATAAAATCATCGTCAGCGCCTTTGGCTGACATGGGTGACATTAAACCCCTCTTACAGCTCCCTCATTATACTGACAGGTTAGAGACCTGTAGTCTCAAGAAACAGAATTTCTTTTGTTTCATGTTATTGTCTCACAGTTTCTGATGAATTACTAACAATTAATAAGAAACCTTTTCTACTCTTTGATACTTCTGAGATTTTTATACATCCAGTATTTCTATTAAAGCGTTTACCAGAACATAATACTGCGTGAGGTCAAACATGCTTTAGGCCAGACACAAAAAGCTGTAACATGATGGTTACGGATAGGGCTTTGCCAAGCTGCCTGGGTTCAAATTCATGCTCTGTAAGTTAATATTTAAATGACTGCGTGCCTCAGTTTCCTCACGTACAAAATGAGCATGAGGAGGATGGAAATGAGTTTCAAATGGAGTTAACAGACACTGCATTAGCATCTGTGTTCATTTTTATTAATAAAACGGATGCTGTAAATGCCGCCACAGGCAGGCCTGCAGTAACTTCGTCCCATTAAGTGGAGGAACAAAGAAAAGGGAGCCGCACAGTGAAGGCATTTTGGTCTCTAACCTGCCTCCATTTGTCTGTCCTGGAGTGCCCCGGGCTAGCACCTGCCAGAGGCCCCCCTTACCCAGCCCCACGCTCTTAGAGCTGGTGCAATGGACTGCAGTTCCCACCGTGGTGTCTCCAGGGGAGCACAGGAGGCTGCCAGTCTCAGGAGGCCAGAGGGTGCTAGGGTGGCTCCCCAATAGTGTCCATTCAATGCCCTCCAGTTCAAGCAGGTGGTATTGGGCAGGGCACAAGATGACCCTCCTTACCTGGAGGGAGCCAACGGCAATGCCTAGGAAGCAGGCATTGGGGATTTGATTGGCAAAGGCAATGACCAATCAGAACAGAAGTCAGCAGCAGCACTGGAATAGCGTCCCAGCTGTGGTGATGGAGGGGGAGATTTTTTAATCCGTGGTATGGCTGCCAGGGCATACCAGCCATGTTTATTAGCTAAATATCGGCCCTAGGAGGTGAGCTATTGGAAATTCATGACTGTACCCACAGTATCTTATCTGTGCTTAAAATATGCCCAGGTGTTATTAAAGGTGCAGACAGGAACTAGCCACTTACCTTGGGCTGCATAGCGGCAAGAACCATCCTCCACCAGAACATTGTAGAAAGGCTGGTGATGGCCGTGAGGCAGGCTGTGGACGTTCATGTTTCGAATCCACTCGTGTCCCATCATGCAGGTGGGGTCCCAGCCGTAGATGACACAGTTATAGCCATACCTAAGCACAGGAGCACGGAATCAGTGCCCTAGGATCCTGGCACCTATGAGATGGTGAGCGAGGGCTTGGCTTCTCTTAAACTCCCTTTCTTACACTTTGACCTGCTTTTGCTCCCTGTTGAGTCATTTTTTCAGAACACTCCTGCCTCTTTTATAAACCTCTCTTACTATCAACCTAGCACTTCAGTTAGAAAATAAACTTTTTGACAAAGAGAGATGGGGCAACAACTGGTCATCAAGATGGAAAAAGGTATCAGGACCAGGCCTGCCAACAACGCACAATACTGGTTCTGGAGAACAGAGACCTAGAGGTAAAATGCAGAACTTCCCAACTGTCTTCACGCCTCGGGATGGCGAATGATTTCCTAAACAAGGTCCTGAAAATACAACCCATAAAGGAAGAGATGGATCAATGTGATTGCCATAAAGGAATGATTCAAACAGACTACCTACCTGTTAGGGAACTATTTCTTTTTTCCTTAATAGGACAACAGGGTGGCAAATGTATTTTTAACAAAAGAGAGAGCCCTTACCTTCCAGACACATTGAAATAGCTCCAGATGAAATGATATCTGGGATTTGCTTCCAGGGAGGAGGGAAGGGCGGGTGGAGATGGACCCTATTATGATAACCAGTGGAGCTGATATTGGACATCACCTGGTTTGTTATACTCAAATCTTTTTACTGTTAGGTATTTGAAATTTCTATAATAAATTAAAAAATAGAATGCAATAAAAGAATGAGGACACTAACCAAAACCTGGAAAAGATATTTGGCACTTATGTGTACACAGAGACTAAATCTACGGAGAAAGAATCACTATAAATCAGAAGCACAATATTGACAAGGCACTAATGAAAGGAAACGTGAATGACCAGTAAGCCTGTGAAAAGAGCCTCAATCAGTGTGGTTTTCAGGGAAACGCAAATTAAAACCACAATGAAACACCCTGTGCCACTGAGGACCTGAGTGTGATTTCAGAAGTCTGGTCGTGGCACATGCTGGTGAGGAAAGGCGCTCTCAGCTCCCCGCAGCTGGGGGGAAGTAAGTCAGTGCCATCGCTGTGGGCAGTTTCATTTTGTCCAGTAAACCGGCCACGTGTGTACCCTGCGACCCAGCAGGCCTGTCTACAACCTGAATTCAGGAGAGCGAGAGGAGAGCCCGAGGACAATACAGAAAGGAGAGAAAAACTCTGTGTACAGCAGCTGCTCCATCTTCCCACAGAGAAGGGTCAGGCCTCTGGAGGTCACTAAAAACATTAGACCTCCCAGTCAGGACCACAAGTCCCTTCTTAAAAAAACAAAACGGTTAAAGACACGGCTCAGCTTGCGGGCCTTCCTGCGGTGGGACTCAGGTCGCACTGCTGGGCGTCGGGTCCCCTTCAAGCACGTCCCTGCGGCCGCTCACGGGCCCTCGGTGTCCTCTGCAGCCACGCGTGGGCGGACGCCGTGGGCACTCACCTCTTATGCTTCATAATGAGCCCAATGGAGTAGCAGACATCCCTGTGCTTCTCGTGGGAACGGAGCTTCACCTCCACGCCCACGTCCTCCTTCTTGCGCTCAATGTGCTCTAGTGTGTGCTGCACCAGGTAACCCACGGCCCCGTGCTGCCCGGGGTCCAGGGTCTGAATGTGCTGGAGGATGTCAAGCACCTTCAAGACAAGACAGAAAGACTGGGTGATAATATTTTTATTAAGGCCTTTTCCCTGTTACTGCACTGGATTCAGCCCTACCTAGCCTGACAAAGGACAGCAAGGTGGGCCCCGAGGGCCGGCCCAGGTCCCCGAGGCTGCTCGAAGCTGGCACACTCACTTCTGATCCTGGGCACTGGCCCGGGCACCCGAATGCAACCAGCGTCAATGTCAGAAATTGCTGAGAAACACGGTGGATTGGAGTCAGCGTGGGGGAAGGAGGGTCTGCCACTGACAGGCACATCTGGGTACAGTGAGCTCTCAAAGGGTCTTACGTTCTTGGTCAATGTGGGCTTCAGTTGAAAAAAATGTTATTTACTGGTTTTAGAGAGAGGAAAGGAGAGAGAGAAAGAAACACCGTCCACTGTTCCATCCATCATGCACTGCACATCGGCTTCACTTTTTGACACACAGAAAGGAAACAATTTTGAGCTGCCTGCACTCATGAACTGGTTGGAAAAACAAAGGCTGCGTGCCTCGGTCAAGAAAGAGGACGCTGGACAGAACTGCCTCGGGACCATGACGATGAAGAGCCACAGAGAAGCCACCGAAGGGCTGCACATGCGTTCCGGACCTTCCACCTGCAGAACGGGGTTCTGGAGTCCTACCGGGCATTGCCATGACGTTAACGCAGGACGCAATATCGTATTCAAGTGGGCAGGGAGAAACCACATCTACGTGGGGCTCACGTAACAGCTGGTAGCAGCAGAACTCAAGGTTATATTCTCTCTACTGTCCCCGTGGCTCCAAGGAAAACACAAATTCTGCTAAAGTTCCTACCCGCACACGCAGGCGCACACAAACATACGCACACAATGACAAAGGACGGCAAGGTGGGCCCTGCCACTGGCCGGTCTCTGACACAGTTTCCCTTATGAACAGGACATTCCCCTAGTTACGGAGTCCTGGGACCCAGCAACCTGGACTCTAGTCCCAGGGCTGTCAAACTCGCTGCTTCTGATTCACAAAGGCCCTGTCTTCCTGATATATGTCATATTGTGAAAATGAACATTTTACGTAATATAAGGTATCATTATTCCAATACCCAACCTCGCCTTCCAGACAGATTTTCTGGTCGCAGTATTGACTAAACACTTATTTCTTGCTGGTCACTGTGCCAACCCCATCACTTTTTTATTTCATTTAATCATCCCAACTTGCAGGTCAGCCGGAAGAGGAAGCAGACCTAGTGAAGGCAAGGAACTGGCCTGAGGTCACAGGTTATGAGATTGGAGTGAGGATGAGACCGGCTAACTCTAGACTCTAGTCTCACCACCATCACGCCAAAGCAGGAGTAGGAGTATTTTAGGTAACTGTTATGCTCGTTCTCAAACACATAAAAATGGGCAGAATGGTATGACCGTGTACCCCCAACCCAGCTTCACCCACTGTCAGCTGAGAGCCCACCCCCTCCAAGAGGCCTTTAACGTGGGAGACACTAACAACCTTTATCCTCTGCAACAAACAGCATGGGCTTTAACAGCAAGTCCTACTTACTGGGCTTGCGTAACACGTTCCTCGTGCTCCCCTCTGCAGTTCCCACCAGTCCTGCGGACCAGACTTCTGCTCCATCCTGGCACAGCTCCCCTGTCCAGCAGGCCCCCCACCAGAGCAGGGAAACAGGCCTCACTCGGAATCTTCAGCGCACGAAGGAATTCTGACGCAGAGTCTCAGAGATGAGGCTCAGGGATGAGGAGCAGGGAAACAGGCCTCACTCGAAATCTTCAGTGCACAAGGAATTCTCAGACGCAGAGTCTCAGAGATGAGGCTCAGGGATGGGACGGTGCCCCCGCCCTTCCCTTGGCGTGTGGCTGACAGGGTGAGGGGAGAGGGCCTGGTGACCCGGGCCTTGTATGTTCCCAAAGGACAGTGCTGACACCTGGGTGCCGGGCTGCGTCCAACCAATGTCTAGGCCTAGCATCCGTAGTCCACAACTTCTGGGGTAGAGATCTCGGAAGAGGAGGCCTATCACTCATGACTGATACACTTTTCATGGGAAGGGCCAGAAAGTAAGTATTTTAGGCTTTGCAGGCCATTCGGTGTCTGACTCAAGCAGTCCCCTAGGTCGCTGGAAATTGGCCAGAGACAAATAAGCAAGTGGGCGTGGCTGTGGACGCATAAAACAGATCCATAAAAGCAGGCTGCTGCGGGCCCACAGGCTGTGGGTGCTGGCCGGCTGGTCCACTGACTGCAGCTTCCCCCGAGGCTCTCTCTGGAGCTCCTGGCTCCATCCTCTGACGGCCACTGTCCGTGAGCTCTTCTATTTTGGGGGCTTCCACTACCAGATGCTGACACATGGCCCCGGGTCCTATCAAATTCAACACGCCCCAAACTCAACCCCTTCCCATACATGAAACAGGCCTGCTCTCCAACACCCACTGTTCACGTGGCCACGAGCAGTTGGGAAACGGGGCCCTCCTCGGAGCCTCCCCCTCACTCAGAGCACACAAATTCAACACGCCCCAAACTCAACCCCTTCCCATACCATGAAATAGGCCTGCTCTCCAATACCCACTGTTCACGTGGCCCTCCTCGGAGCCTCCCCCTCACTCAGAGCACGTGGAGACCTGGCATTTCTTACTCATTCGGGTGAAAACTTCTGAGCACCTGCCACAGGCAACTGTGCTGCGGAGCGAGGGGAACAGCTCTGGTGAAGGCAGCAGCTCTGGCCCTCGTCCTGACAGAACGCCTAGCGGAGCAGCACAACACACTCCAGCCACTTTGGAAAGGGCAGCGGGGCCCATGCTGAGGGCCTGGGGAGGGGTTTCGGAGGCAAAAGTGAAGCAGGTGGAGTTGAGGGGCAAGAAAGGTGCTCCAGGCAGAGGCGCAGCGGATGCCAGGCCTGACGCAAACAGGGCCGAGTGGAGGACGTGGCTGTGGCAGCGGAGTACAAAAGGGGCCAGTGTAAGAGACCAGAGCTTGGGCGGGCGGGCCAGGCCACCAAGATCCCAGTGGGCCACCCTCAAGAGAATGAGCCTGGTCTTCAGACAGCGGGGAGCCACCCAGAGGGTCCTGAGATTTTACTGAGATTGCTCTGGCTACAGCTTATCAGACAGGTTGCAGGGTGTAAGCGCAGAGGAAGGAGAGCACGCAGGGGGCCTATGCAACCCCCTAGGGACAGAGCCGTGTACAGCGTGGAGGGACACCTGGGTAGGCTGCTGGAGCCCAAGGTCCAGGCAGGAGGCAGACTCGGGAGCCAGCAGCCCACAGGTGGGGCCTGGAGCAAGGAGAGCGGGTGCGATCACCTGGGAAAGTGCAGAGGGAAAGGAAGCCTAGAAACTACCAGAGGACAAGGAACAGGCAGGAGCCCGAGAGCCAAGAACCAAAGTCGAAGGCACAGGGTGTACTGGGTGGGGAGTGGTCCCCAGCGAACAAAAAAGATAAAGAAAAACAAGTATCTGCTGGATTTGGCAACAAGAAGAATGATTTATCAGAAAGGGGTCATTGGCTTCGCTGGCAAGCGCGGTTCCCAAGGTGGAGGGGTGGGAACGGATCCCCATGTTCTGAGGAGTGTGTGGGAGGCGAGGCAGGTGGCCGGCACGGCCAGCGAGCAGGCTTCAGCCATGCAGAGGAGAGAGAGATAAGGACGCAGCTGCAGGGAAATGCCAGCAGGGCTGTCATGGGAGTGCTTTTATGTTTTCTTTTTCCAAAGATGAGAGAGATCTGAGTATGTGTAATGCTGACGGTAGATAATAGAAACAGGCAGTTGAAGGAAGACATGAGGCCTGGCCGGTGTGGCTCAGTGGTTGTCAACCTATGAACCAGGAGGTCACCAACTGATTCCCAGTCAGGGAAATGGCCGGGTTGTGGGCTCGATCCCCAGTAGGGGGCGTGCAGGAGGCAGCTGATCGATAATTCTCTCTCATCGTTCATGTTTCTGTCCCTCCTTCGGGGAGTGGTCCCCAGCGAACAAAAAAGATAAAGAAAAACAAGTATCTGCTGGATTTGGCAACAAGAAGAATGATTTATCAGAAAGGGGTCATTGGCTTCGCTGGCAAGCGCGGTTCCCAAGGTGGAGGGGTGGGAACGGATCCCCATGTTCTGAGGAGTGTGTGGGAGGCGAGGCAGGTGGCCGGCACGGCCAGCGAGCAGGCTTCAGCCATGCAGAGGAGAGAGAGATAAGGACGCAGCTGCAGGGAAATGCCAGCAGGGCTGTCATGGGAGTGCTTTTATGTTTTCTTTTTCCAAAGATGAGAGAGATCTGAGTATGTGTAATGCTGACGGTAGATAATAGAAACAGGCAGTTGAAGGAAGACATGAGGCCTGGCCGGTGTGGCTCAGTGGTTGTCAACCTATGAACCAGGAGGTCACCAACTGATTCCCAGTCAGGGAAATGGCCGGGTTGTGGGCTCGATCCCCAGTAGGGGGCGTGCAGGAGGCAGCTGATCGATAATTCTCTCTCATCGTTCATGTTTCTGTCCCTCCTTCTCCCTTCCTCTCTAAAATCAATAAAAACATATCTTTAAAAATATATATTTTTAAGAGAATAAAGGAAAACTTAGTGATCCAAGAAAGGCAGGGAAGTTGGACCCAGAGCACAGCAGGTTTGCCGTAGAAAACTGGAGGGATATCTTTTCCACCGGAGGTAACTACGGATCAGAGTAGGGAAGCAGGTCTGGCAGCAGGGAGGACGGCGTGCCCGTCTGTCGGCTTCTCTGGAGACAGTAGGCTCGGGCGCCATCCATGCCTGAGCAAGAGGCTTCAGCAAGCTCCCAGCTCCTCAGTGCCTCAGTTTTATTTGTAAAACAGAAAAAACAGTGTGGCCATAGGGTTGGGAGATGTTTGGTAAGTGCTAGTAGCTTTAAAAGCTGGCCAGCCTACACTCTATTTCCATCACAGCCACAACACCCCTGGACTATGACGGGGACCAGGGGACATGTATTTTGCTCTTCCTGGTTTAATCCAATTGAAATCACGCAGACCTTCTGGTCTCTCCATCTTAGGAATGTTTCCCTTACATCTGATAAGGTCAAGCAGATTCCAAGCCCTGCACCAACTGATCGAAGGCCTGGAAACTATTTCACAGACACAGACCTACATGCACACGCACATGCACACGTACAAGGACCCTTGCAAAGCTGACCTCTGCACAAACCAACCTCTCTACCTCTGTGCTCCAATCGGTGTGCACAGCAGCAACCGACTTTCCTGCCTTCTGAAATGGCTGGCCATCCTCCAACGCCCACCTCAAACCCTTCCTCCGAAGAGCACTTTCTAATCACCTCAGCATCCCCTATCCTTCCTCTTGGGGCGCCCCACAGGATTCCTGGCTAGAGTGCACGTTTACAAGGGGGAGTCCTCACTCACTGGGAATGAGCCACTTTTCATTCCTGATCTCTGAACGGGGGACACCTTCCCCAGCAGCAAATGAAGGGTCATCACGAGGACGAGTGCTGTCCGGGTAAGGACTCGGGAACTTGTTTCAGTGACAGTGACCCTTGCTTGGCAGGAAGGCAGTCTTGGCCTCCCGAGGACTCGAGGTGGTGCCCGGGAAGCAGCGTGCGAGCACAAAGCTGAGCCAGGTGGCTGTTGCGGGTGAAGCCAGAGCCCCTGCAGGCTTCCCCACAGAGGAGACGGTAACCTCACTCCTCGGAGACGGAGACAGGATTTATTTATAAAGAAGCCCTGCTGTGAAAGGATCACTGCACTTCACAGATTATCACGAAATTCCTTAACTAATCTACAGCAAAACGTCACAGGAATTATATATATCCTACTATCAAAACTAAGTAAAATAAGCGACTGAATCCCGGCCAGCAGGATTTATTTAGGCTCTGGGAAGTGGTGGGGACTTTGGCAGAGTCTAGATTTCCCGGACTCTTCGACCAGATCACGTGACTCTGCTCCCTGGGCCACACATGACATCTCCACTTAGGATAGACGTCTAGAGACTTTCTTACAGATGTGTCGTTTCTTAGAAATACTTTACAACTCTGAAGTCGTGAGTCACTGAGACATCGTAAATCTAAGCAAAGTCAAGTCATTTAGATGCTTTATCTCCTCAAGCAAAGGTTTTACTCTCTAACAGCACAGCCGATGTCTCTGTGAGAGCTCAGAGCTTAGCGCCCTCACCCGACTGCTCTAAACGAACAAATGGATCACTACATACTTCCCTGGGAGACATGCAGGGCCTGATGCACGCGTGCAGCTACTCCTGCTCTGATGCTCGGCTGGCCTTGAGCATCGCCGCCCACAGCCTCCGAGGAGCACTTCTGACCTCACACCGCAGCCGCCTCAAAGTGCTTGCTGCGAGCCACAGGGGCCGTGGCAAAACTGGGAGCTCCCTGCAGAACAGTATCCAATTCAGGGCCTGAACTAGTCCAGCAGCGGGACGTGTGCACATCTGAGAAGTAACTCTGCTGTCACACAGGGCACTTGGTGTGCACCCACTGCAGCTGCTAACAGCACAGCTGGAGGCTGAGCCTCCCAGATTGGTCTCCGGCCAAGTCAGGGTGACGTGGGGAAATCTTCCTTAGGGGCAGCAACAGGGGAGTGGCAGGGCAGAGGCCTGTGGTTCAAGACATTTAAGGCACTGACCACAAAGAGAATGGGCAACTCTGGGCAATACAACCAGTTTTTTGTGTTGTTGTTTTTTTCCAGAATGAAAGAAGAGCCCCCAAAATTTGAATGATGGGTCAAGACTGGGAGACTGGATAGATTTGTGTTTATCTCCATGTTGATATAAGGGCAAATCTGTAAGAGCCGCCTTTCAAGCTATGACTCCCTCTCTAAGGCAAGTGCAAAGCATCAAAGTCAAATAATTACCTTCTCTGGCCAGATCCCCAGGTGGAAGTAGAGCCTGGCTTGGAGGAGGAGGAGCTGCACCTGGTCGGGGTACATCGCCAGGTACAGGTCCAGTGAGTCTCGCAGGAGCTGGTACGACTGGTCGATGCCTTCCCTATGGGAGAGGAACCTTCGTCTTAGCCCGCGTGCTTCTAAGATCCTCTTTGCAAGGCTCAGGTTTTAGAAATAATTGACACAAATCCCATACATTTTCTGATTCTGATACTTCCTCTCTATTCAGCAAATAGTTACAATGGTCTTAAAAAAAACACACACACAAAAGAAATATAAATTTTATACCCCACTGTGGTGATGGGCACTAAACAAAAAGTCGTGTTTCATTACGTAGTTACCTCAGGAGCATTGCATATAATGAAAATTGAATTCTGAAAAGGCGGAGCAGAGGACTTTTAGGGCAGAAGCTGTTCTGTGTGACACTATAATGGCAGACACACGTCATTAAACATTTACTAAAACCCGCAGAGGGTACAATACCGAGAGTGAACCTGAACGTATGACTGCAACTCTGGACTCTGGGTGATTAGGTGTCAATGCAGATTCACCAATCGTAACAGACGTACCACTCTGGTGCTGGATGCTGACCTGAGGAGGCTGTGTGTGCTGGGAGGCAGGGGTATATGGGGAGTTGCTGTACTTTCTGCTCAGTTGCACAGTGAACCTAAAACTGCTCTAAAAATAAAGCTTATTTTTAAAAAAATTCTGCCACAGCGTACAGCTTCCTACTTTCTCCATAGCACACTTTCCCTTGGACTCCGAAGCAAGCTTCTGCTTGTTTCTTATCTAAGTGATAGAAAGGGTTATGTTACAAGATGACGAAGCATGTGGGCATGAGAACTCCCTGCTCCTAAAGAGCAGCTTGGCCGTCTGAGACATTCCTGTCGCTGAAGGTGCTTCCGACATTTGTAGAGCGAAGCTGCCCAAGCCCACCGAGACTTCAAGGGAAAATCACTGGGCATGTCTGAAGCCTGACAGCATGATGTCACGGGAACCCGCTTCTCTGTGCAGTGACAGCTGTAGATATCCCAGCTGTGCCACCTCGTCCACTGCTCTGCTGTGTCCCAGGGAGGCTCATGAAAGAAAAGTCTCCATAAGGCACCTCAGGCCCCCGGGGGCACACCCGCTGCAGAAGCACTGGAGAACTGAGAAAACCTTACCGCTTTCCCAGGCTCAAAAGGTTCCCCACCATTCGCTGCAGCACCTTCTTCACGTTGACCACCCCATACAGCGCTGCAGTCACGTGCTGGCCGATCAAGTATTCACACTCCTTCACCGTCAGCTGCCTGCCTTTCCCAAAAGCATCAATGTAGATGTAGTCGAAGATGTCCAGGTTGGCCCTGTACGAAGAGCACATGGAGTCACCACATCTCACCTCCGAGCTGAGCAAGTCAATACTTCAACCCCTAGCATGTAGCTCACATCAGAGACTGAATGTTAACACAGTAGCATTTCTACTTAAAACAAGGCCTTGTCCAAAGTTGAGAATCTGAGCCTTTATTCGTGCTGTTGAGCTCAGGGCGCTGGTATTTAGGATGAAGAGTACTTCGGCATGCCATCTAATATAGTTCTTCAGGGAGACTAAGCCTAGAACCCAGTGCCAGGAGCACCTGTCAGAAGTCTGATGGCTCCTCACACAGATCAGCAGTGTGAATGTCTGTGGACCCTGGGCCCTCGAGGCTACGCAGAAAGGTGTGGCACCTGCCACCAGGAGGATCCTGCCCTCAGCTCTGCAGACACTCAGGGGGTCACAGACCTGCTGAGCCTACCAGGGCCTCAGGCTGGGCACGTGCTCCTGACTCAAGCCCACTGCCCTCCATGAACCTGCTCTGGCACGTGGTGGTGGCCACCCTGCAGAGCGCTCTCTCTACGAGGGCTCCTGAGACACGGAGGTGGGTCTTTGTCCCAGGGACAGCTGTATTTGACCCTTGAGCAACTGCTTCAGATTTCTTCCCTATGGGAGAGAGGCCATATTAACAGCCCTCCTTTGGCAAGACATTTGTAAATGTCATAGAAACAAGGAATGTTTTGCAACCCTTTTTATGAATCTAGGAGAACCGCATACACACACACACACACACACACACACACACACACAAACACGAGCAAATCAAATGCAGCAATGTATTTAAAAGAACCCACAGGATTACATTAGATATACCCTGAGAATGACGAATTGAACATTCAAATATCTATTTCAAGCATATATAAAGAAAAACCATATGATCTTATCAGTAGACACAAAAAGACATTTTAGAAAAGAGATCTACTGCGTAGTTATTAATACAACTCTTAGCGAAATAGGAACTTAGAAGGCAGCTTTGATAAGCCTAAAGAAGACACTGTCCCCAACCATCATGCTTGAGGTGAGATTTCACAAGGATTCTATTTACAGCCAAACTCAGGCGAGGGGTTTGCTATCACTGACTGTTTCTATTCCACTCGGCTCCAGAAGACTGGGCCAGCACAATTAGATAAACAAAAGAAACAAAGACAGATCAAGGCTAGGGAGAAAAACAAAACCATTCAGACAATGACTATCTACAGAGAAAAGCCGAGAGCTGACAAGTGATTAGCACTCATCATTTATTCAGCAATACCAGGCCTATATCTAAATATTAGCCCTATCCCTATACAATGCCAACCCTAAAAAACGTAATTTTAAAAACTTACCATTTACAATAGCAACGAAAATTTAAAGTGCTAGGAACAAGTCTAACAAGATGTCAAAGGGCTCGGAGAAAACATTAAAATCATTTTAAGAACATTAAGGATGAGTTAGAGTACATGTATGGGAGCTATGTTCACAGACAGACTCAGAGTGGAACACTGGCAATATTTCTCGTATTAATGGATGGTTGCAATTCAAGTAAGCATTGGTGCCAATCAATATGGGGGTTTTATTAAAGCAAAAGTCTAAGAACAGCCAAGGCAATTGGAAGAACTTGATGGAGGTCTCACCTACCCGTTATTAGGACTAATGAGAGGGTACAAGTACAGTGAATAAGTATGGTCTTGGTGAAGGAAGGAAGGAAAGGAGAGAAAGGGCCTGCAGCCAGCTGCTGGTGAGAGACCTGTGCACTCGCCCTGCCCACTCTTCCCTGCCTTTCCCTGAGGGCCCAGCCCAGCCCTTGATGGGTCTCAATGTCTGTTTTTGGCCAGGAGACCTGGGATGCTAACAAATTATTTAATTGCTCATTTACACTGTTCATTGTAGCCTAAGAAGGCAAAATTATACTGCTACCATAACTGTACTCAGTAATGTTATTGTGGTAAGTAATATGGTAATTGGTGTTTTAAATGCTTTATATTATGCAGAAATCGGGGTGGATTATTATACAGGCATTTAAGAATATTTTAGAGGTACTTGGGGAGATTGGTTGGGTTATTCAGGGAATGGAAATGGGCTGAAAAAAATTTTCCCCATTAATAATGGAAAATGGGTGCCTGCTATCTAAAAAAGGAATCATCAAATACATATTTAGGAACAGACCATATTTGGGGAAAAAGGAACACAGTACATATTACTTAAGGAAAAGTACATATGTATTAAACTATTAAAATTTGCATGAAAATAATAAGTATTATTTTCTGGTGGTTATCTCTGGAGAGGAGAGGAAGAAGAAAAGGATAAGGAAGAATACCCAGGAAGCTCCAACTATACACGTTTTCTTTCTTCACCTAGGAGGTAGAAATACAGAGACCAGTTATAGGTCTTTTCTTTTTTTTTTTTTTTAAATATATTTTATTGATGTTTTACAGAGAGGAAGGGAGAGAGATAGAGAGTTAGAAATATCGATGAGAGAGAAACATCAATTAGCTGCCTCCTGCACATCTCCTACTGGGGATGTGCCCACAACCCAGGTACATGCCCTTGACCGGAATCGAACCCGGGACCTTTCAGGCCGCAGGCTGACGCTCTATCCACTGAGCCAAACCGGTTTCGGCATATAGGTCTTTTCTATGTATGCAAAATGCTGACACGCCGAGCTCAAAAGGTTCACCGTCAATGACCTAGGAGGTAGAAATAGAGACCAGTTATAGGTCTTTTCTATGTATGTGTCAGGAACTCTGCTATGTGTGCAAAGCACTGGGGCATCTCATTTAATCCTCCAAGATGCTTCATGAGAAACTATAGTCCCATTTTACAGAGGAAGACACAGGCTCAGGAAGCAAATGTCTGAACCCAGTCTGACTTCAAATCTCAGGCCCTTTCTATTATACTGCTCATCACTTTACCAAAGGATGTCACAACTAGTCATTTGAAAGTGGTTTCAAAGAACAGGATGTAATTAAATAACTTTGCTTCTTTTTCCTCTAAATGGCACATTTAATGAGAAGATATTCTACCTATTTGATGAACGATTTCTTGCAGAAAAGTCAGACAATAGCTGAAAGGAGCTTTATGCCAATAGAACACCAAGTTTAAGAGAGAACAATTCATTAACCTGGACTCCACAGTGCATTTCAGTCACTAACCTTGCCCAAGAGGTCTGAGATAAGTACACGAATATTTACTCTGCACATCAATGGAGGACTTGGCTAATCTGTTCCCTCTCCCCCTCTCTTGTGTGGGGAGGGAAGGGAGGTTTCACGGAACACTGGAACTTATGTTTCTTTAAGAGACTTTCTATCTGATCTGCTTTGGAACAAAGAGACTTTGAGAGTCACATAAGCCCTGAACCCCGAGTCCTATTCTTTAAAATTAAACTTTTGAGACAATTGTGTATTCACATGTAGCCGTCAGAACAAATATAGATAGATCCAGAGCACCTTCTCCCATCCAATTACTGAGAAATGCAGTCAAGAAAGGAGACAGGCCAAAACCGGTTTGGCTCAGAGGATAGAGCGTCGGCCTGTGGACTGAAAGGTCCCAGGTTCGATTCCGGTCAAGGGCATATACCTGGGTTGCGGGCACATCCCCAGTAAGAGATGTGCAGGAGGCAGCTGATCGATGTTTCTCTCTCATCGATGTTTCTAACTCTCTACCTCTCTCCCTTCCTCTCTGTAAAAAATCAGTAAAATATATTAAAAAAAAAAAAAAAAGGAGACAGTCCCATCACCTCCTAGCCCTCTCTTAACCTGCCTCGTTACATTTCTCTCCGCACCGTGGGAATGATGCTCAGGACCACCCACCGCGTCAGATGGCTCACCCTTCCGCGCCTTGGCACCACCTCAGTAAGAAGTGACTTGGGAAGTTGACAGGTTCCAGAGGGACCCCCAACTGCCGGGCAATGGTCATGTAGAGCAGAGACATGCTGATTGGGATCCCTGTTCTGCGGATCAGAACCTGGAGGAGAGAAAAATGCTTTAGCTCACTGGAAAGCAACGTGTTCTCATTCCTTTGATGCACATTTCTGTCCCAGGCAGGAGGCTAGGTTCTGAGGCTTAAGTGGAAGATTAGGTTATTTATTGCAACCAGAGGTCTGCAAACTGCAGTCCATGGACCAGATCTGGCCCATCACCCGCTCCTGCATGGACTGTGTAAGAACACTTTTAATAGTTTTTAATGTTTAAAGAAAAGTCAGAAAAATACTATTATTGACACACGAAAATGCTGACATTCAAATTTCCACGTGTACATATAAAGTTTTATTGGAACGCAGCAGTCACTTGTTTCGTGCTGCCTGTGCCCCTTTCCAGCTGTGATGGAGAACTGAGCAGGTAGGACACGAGCTCATGGCCCAAAGAGCCACAGCAGTTCACTGTTGGCCCTTTACAGATAAAGCCCGCAGACCTGCGACTCAAGCCCTCTTCTTCCAGAAGAAACTCAAGGCCACTTTGAGGAAAGACTGCAAGACGTGAAAAAAGAAGATACAAGTAGCATGGAGAGCAACAGAGGAGATATGAAGAGGGAGCAAATAAAAAAGAAACGTCCATGACGTAGCTGGCCACAGACTTCCTCCTCCCTCCCCCCAGGCCAGGACAAGAGGAAAGGCCGGGGTAGTTCCACTTTAGGGTTCACAAGATATACATGGAGGCACAGAGCCCATCTCGAAGGCTTTCCGACAAAGGACACCTTATGGATGAAACAACAAGTGTACAGTGGTTTCCTTAGAGTAAAGGCAAAATGAGTTGATAGGCATTGAGTGAGGAAGAAGATGGAGCACTTGCTCTCAAAAAACGTAGGAATGGCCGTAACCGGTTTGGCTCAGTGGATAGAGCGTGGGCCTGCGGACTGAAAGGTCCCAGGTTCGATTCCGGTCAAGGGCATGTACCTGGGTTGCGGGCACATCTCCAGTGGGGAGTGTGCAGGAGGCAGCTGATCGATGTTTCTCTCTCATCAATGTTTCTAACTCTCTCTCTCTCTCTCTCTCTCTCTCTCTCTTCCTCTCTGTAAAAAATCAATAAAAAAAAACAAAACAAAACAAAACAAAACTAGGACTGGTCAGAGGTGAGCGGAATTATTTTTTATAGACCCACACTTACCTGGTGCATATATAAGTTGAGGGCGTTATAGTAGTCCATGCGGTTCCCCTTGAACTTCAGCTGGTCATACAGGACATAGTTCATGGCATCCAGCACCTGGCTCTGGAGCTCTAGCTCCATCACCATGGAGGACTCACCTGAAACACAGAGTCTACCCTGAGGACACAAGCACAACCTGCAACCTGCAGACACTGGCCCGGCCTAACAGCATCGGTCAGGTGTTACCAATCCAGGCCGGGGAAGGGAATGGGTATTTAAATCTTTTACGTTATCCAGGTGAACACGTTGTTGTGTCAGTGTTTTTGTGACACAAGGGGGAACACACTGCAGAATTTCCAAGGAACCAATGACTCTAGGTGTCCCTGTGCACAGAGGGGATCCAAAGCAATGCCACACCTGCCTTGAAGGCCAAACTGGGGTGGCGGCTGTTGATGCCACGCAGGCTCTTGCGCACGAGCTCCACGATGCTGCCGATCTGGGCCTGGATGTCTCCGAGGCTGATTTCGGAGAGAGGATTGCAGTACTGGTCGATAAACACAGCACCTGAACACGAACAAGAATTATTGAATACATTCCTATTTTTACCCTTTTCTTATTAGTTTGTCATTTGCCCCAGATGCCTGAGGCCACAGCTCCTGACAACATCCCACCAGACAAGCAGCTTCGTATCCTGGATGTCAGGCTGGCCGCTAAGACACTGAGAGGGCCAAGGACACCCTCACCACAAAGGGGCTCTCACGTCACTATGCTGCTGTGTTTGTAAATACACCGAACCTCTTTCAGAGGTCTGAACTCTGAGTGATACATGGCATATTTCCATGTTCTATCATGAGAAATAAAGGCTAAAAGGAGATCTTTCAAACGACTTCTCTCTTCTTCTAATTCCCTTTCAGTTTAAAACCCAACAACTCTGAACACAATGTTGTAAAACAGTCCTTTAACTTAAAAAAATAGTTGTAAGTTCTCAGCAATAGATATGCCATTTCAACAAACTGTCCCTCCCCAAGGTGAGCCAGTAAGTGGACTTTGGAGATAATCGTACTTTCAAAGCAGGTGACCAGCTACCCTCAAGGACCCTGCGGCAAAGCATCTGCACAGCGTGCACTGCACACGGTCCCTGCCAGTCCCCTCTGCACTGCCCTCGGTCACTTCTTAACCAGAGCCCTATGGACTCTCGCGATCATGTGACTGTAGAACGTGTTGAGTTGGGAAATCACTTTAAATTCAAGTGGCTTCAAACCAGCTGGGAATCCTGGCCCCTTACCCACACCCTAAGGAACTGAAAGCAGGTGAACGGCGTGGAGAGATCAGGACCCCAGTCCGTTTGCCACCAGCGGGGGTTTGGCTCCCGGGCCTCCTTGGAACTCAGCTCTCTACCTGTACATGGAAGAAACTTTTGCCAAACTCCCAAGACCATTCCATCCTAGTGCTGATTCCCAGACGGTGCCAGTGGCATCAGATTATCTAGTCAGTGGACAAGGACCAAATCCTGGAGCCTACTTCCATTCCCTCAACTACTTCAAACCTCCAATGGCTACCCAATGCCTACAGCACTGATTTGGATGGGTTACTTGAAAATGGTAACATTACTTTATAACTGAGAGATGAAAAAGTACTCAGTTTCATAAGTACTAGTAAGCCATGGAAAATAGCTTGTCAAAGTACTCTTGACTGTGGAATAAACAAGACAGGATGACTCGCAATGCCAGCATGCTCATCAGCAGAGAGCAGGGTGGCGAGGATATTTCAATGGGCTGCAACAGACTTTTCATTTCGTTTTGGATGACAGAAGACATCCATACAATCCAGCATCTGCCCCAGGCACTGTGGAGTAGACAGTGATGGCAGCACAAAGACAAGGGACACAAGAAAACCAGTGACTACTTGGGAGAAACGACTTGTACACACACAAGACAGAGATGATGCAACAGAATTTGGTAGCCAACGCTCCTGCATTAGTTCCGAGGTGAGTAAAATTTGTACTGCAGTAGCCAGAGAAACTCCAAGTGGAACCCGAAATGAACGTTCAGAGGGTGAGTAGGATTTAAGAGGAATCGGAAGGAAAAGGGATACCATGAATGAGGGTAAAGCCAGGGGCACCTGTAGGGTGAAGTGAGGACAGTGGCCTGGCTGGAGCAGATGGGACACTGGAGAGCCTGGGGCAGGGAAGGACTGGATTACGAAGGCACTGAGCAGGCAGAGGTGGGATGAGAAGCAGGACATCAGCTGGCCGCACTGCTGGTTCGCATGCCGTGGGGACAAGGCTGGACTGACTGATAAGGTGGTTGGCTGGAAGGCAGAAGGGGTGATGCTCATGAAAGCAAGTGATACTTAGAAAGCTGGGCTGGGAGAGGTGGTGAGAGCCGGCAGGAGAAGAGACGAGAACGGAGATGTGATGGAGAGAAACACTGATAGGAGCAATTGGGTAAAACTCTGGGAACAGGGAATGTATGTATTTCATCACCACAGCTTCTGGGAGTGTTTGCGTAATGTGCTAGGAATTGAATATCGTTTGGAAAAATAGTCACATGTTGTTCTTGTTCAAGTTGGTAGGAGCAGAAAGTTACTGCCTTTCTCGACTTCTCTCCCCTCATTTCTCAGGAGAGCCAGGCACACTCACTGACGCGCAAGAACATTTCGTCCTCATTAAACTCTAACCAGAGGGCAAGGGATTTGCTCCAGTCTCATTGAGACAAAAGTGGACCAACTGATTTCTGATTTGGAAGTGAGGCTTCAAAGCTTAGGAAAAGAGGGAATTATTTCATTATCTGAAATATCAGCCTCTCATGCTTTGAACCGAAGGTGCATCTTGAGAGAAGACTGTCTCTTCAGCTGACAGCTAAAGGTTTTAACAAAGTTTCAGCTCTCCATTTAATAGTTCTGCCCACCTACACGACCGGACCACACACTCCAGCTCCAGAAGCCCATGCGGCTGAGCTGACTTTTCCACTGCGGGCTCATCAGTTTCCACCGCTGCTCCCAGCACAGCTTAGCTGCCCACTGAGACAGCGCTGCTAAAGTCTCACCTTCGAGATACGATTCATAGTCATCCGAATGCTGAAGAAAAGCCTTAAGATTATTTAAAATTTTCTGTTGTCGTAGGTAGTAAAGGATTTTTTTGGCGTAGTACTTCCAGGTCAAAGCTTTCCTGGAAAAAACAAACAAACTATAAGTCAATAAGAATTAAGATATTACAACTTTGAAATGATTAGTTTTTTACTTCACACTAGTCATACCATGTAAAGAGTCTACTTACTCAACAAGACAGCTATAACTGGTTCGTGATCATATAGTACTTATTATCACAGAAGCAGACAACACAATTCAGGACTTTATTGTGCATTTGTAATATACAATTCAGGATGTGCATTTGTTATTACACTAGTCGTGGCTGAAATTCAAGAAAGTTATCTGTATGGTTTCAGAGTTACTAAAAGTTACTAAAAGAGAAACCTGAAAAGTGAGGGGAGTGGGGTGGGCCTGGGTGGGGGTGTGTTTGTGTGTCTGGAATCCTTGGCTGGGCCCTCTGCACCTGGCAGAGGGAGCTCAGGCCTTGGGCTGCTGCTTCCCTCCTACGCTCAAGGCCAAGGTGATCTCACCCAGTCTCATGGTTTCAAGTATTATCCACACGGACAGTCCCCAACTTATTTTCCAGAACAGATTTCCTCTCTGTACTCCAGACCTATTTATCCAACTGCTACTCCACTGCCCCACTTGGGGATCTGGTGAGCCCCTCAACACGTTAAGCGCCCAGTCAGTCACCAGTGACTGACACTATACTTTCCGTCCAGAAGACAAAACAGGCCGGGCACTTAACATGTTCAAGTTCTTCTGCTCCTAGTGTCATCCCCATCCTATATAATAAATCCTATATAATAAAACCAATCAAAGCGTAATATGCTAATGATATGCTAAGGCCGCTCAACCGCTCACTATGACACGCACCGACCACCAGGGGGCAGACAGTCGACTGGTCGACCAGTCGCTATGACGTGCAGGGACAACCAGGGGGGCAGATGCTCTGACCGGTAGGTTAGCTTGCTGCTGGGGTCCGGCCGATCGGGACTGAGCAAGACAGGCAGGACAAGCCCTAGAGTCCTCCTGCGTCCCTCCCCGGCCCCAATTGTGCACTGGTGGGGTCCCTCGGCCTGGCCTGTACCCTCTCACAATCCAGGATGAGGAACCTGCCCCCTCCAAGTGCACAAATTTCGTCCACCAGGCCTCTAGTCTCAGATAAAGGCAACTCCATCACTCCAGTTAGGCCTCAAACCTTGAATCATCCTTGACTCCTGGCTTTCTCTCATTAGCCACATTCAACCCATCCACCAATGCTGTCAGTTCTACCAGGAATGTGAGGACTTCCCACTAACTCACCTAAGCCACTGTCACCTTTTGTCTGTATCACAGTGGCATCCTCCCTACTGAGTGTCCTGCTTCAAACCTTGGCCCTCACTGTCTAAGCTCAATACAGTAGCCAGAGCACTCCAGGGAACACATCAAATCACAGCAGAAAAGCTCTCTGTCCCAAATTCTCCAGCGTTTCCCACCTTGCTCAAAGTAACAGCCCAACTGAACTGTGAAGGTCATTTGAAAAAAAATCTGCATATCAGCAGAACTGACCTGCAGATTTCAAACCCAAGCTGTACAAGGGTCAAATGTGATACTCATTTGCTTTACTTCGCATCTCTCTCTCTCACACACTCTCCAATATTCTCATCGCCTTGATGATTACTGAAAAACTGCTAAATATTTTGCTTATGTTTCCCCCCATTCTCTGCTGTTTAAACAGTGGCATTATATCCACGCTGTCAAGGCTTATGACCACTACATACAATACTGACTACTCTACTGTCATTTGAATTTAATTCTACAAGTACATACATATTCTTTAAAGTAAGTACATATTTAATATACTAATCCTTGTCAAGGCCTCTTTTTTCAAGTTCATTTTCTAGCATATTTCTCAGGAAGGGCTCAAAAGCCCCTAAGTCCTTGCAATTTGGTAAGTCTGTCTGCAGCTTTATACTTGGAAGTCAGTTTGGCTGGATATAAAAATCCTTGGCTGACATTTTTGATCCCTGAGTATCTTAAGTATGCTATTCTCTTTTCTTCTGGCACTGAACATAATATTCTGATTTTCTTTTCCTTAGAAGTGACTTTGGTTTTTTGTGGTTGTTGTTTTGTTTGTTTGGTTAGATGACCAAATGACTTATCCGTCTTTAATATCCAGTAGTTTTACTGAAATATGTCTCAATGTTGGTCATTCTAGGTCCATTTTCTCAAGTACTGTGTACCCTTTTAATATGTTGTTTCAAATCTTTATTGCAGGATATGCTCCTTTTAAAAACCACACAGAACACCATAAATGCAAATTGTTTTCAAATATCCAGAGAGTGGTGCTTTAGCATTTACAGAAACACCCTTGCTCCTTCTTATGTTTTCCATATTCAAACAACAAGCATTTGGAAGGAATAAATACAAATAGGGTCCTTCATAAAAACTGACATTCCAAAGTACTTAATAAATGTGACTATCCCTTGTTACCTAAAAACAACAGTTTTTTATTATTTTTTAAATCCTCACTTGAGAATATATATACATATATTTTTTAGTTGATTTTAGAAATAGAGGAAGGGAGAGAGAAACACCAATGTGAGAGAGAAACATCGACTGGTTGCTTCCCATGTTCGCCCTGACCAGGAATCGAACCCACAACCTAAGTATGTGCCCTGACAAGGAATCAAACCGAAATCTTTTGGTGTATAGGGTGATGCTCCAACTAACTGAGCCACCCAGCCAGGGCTAAAAACAGTCCTGTTTTAAGATCAAAATCTATGTCAGGTCAAGGAGTAACAAATCTATGTTATTTATTTCTAAAAAGACTATAATAATGTATGTTTTTACTGGTTGTGCATATTCAGTCTTTCCCCCAATCTGATAAGTAAAAAAAAAAGCAATATTTCACAATTCTTTGACATGTCTTTGAAAAGTGAATTTAAAGGTCTTTGTACTTAATTGCCAGCCACCTGGATTTGCTCTTCTGTAAATGTCATCCTCCTATCCATTTTTCAATTTCTTCTTGGAAATTTAAAGAATTATATTGACTTTACGGTTTCTTTGGTCATACAGAAGTTTATTTTTTTGGTTAAGGAGGTCTCCATGGATTATACATAAAATCTCCCATTTCCTTGAAGGTTTTTCACTGTGGTAAAATTTAAGTTGTTTAATTTTGGAATTTTGTTTTTATATATGATGCAAGTTTTACTTCCAGATGGATAATCAGTTATGCCTAAAAGCATTCATTAAATAGTCCAACTTTTTTCCTCTGAGTTTAAATTTATCATCTTTCATGCTGGGACATGTTTCTGAATTACCCTTTGCCACAGACGTGACTATTGATTTTTACTTAAAAAAATGACCTCTGGATCTGAACTCATTTTTTTTACTGTATTATTTTCATTACAGGTAGCTTTACAATGTGCTCTAATATCTGTGATGCAAGTTTCCCATTGTGAGTATTTAAAAATTGGGGGTTTTTTTTGGCTCTTCTTATGAATTTATTCTTTTTTGACAATATTATCCAATTAAAACACAAAAAAAAACTCCCCAAACTTTCTTTGGTTCCTAATTAAAATGGCAATAGTTTTATGTATTAATTTTGGAAAAACTGACTTTTTTTGTGATGGTAAGTCTTCCTATTCAAGGGCATGCTCTTATTTTGTGTTTTGCAATAACTTTCTATAGTCTGACCTAGGAAATCCGGTCCCAGGAATCTTTCACTGAGAAGTAAAACCACCAAAACATCACCCTCCACAGTCACATAAAAATGGAGAAGTGGTTACCCATCAATAGGGGAATGGTTAAACATGTAAATTATAGTATACACTACAAAACAGTAGGCAGCCATTAAAAAAAGTGAGTTAGTGCCCTATCTGGTTTGGCTCAATGGATAGAGCATCGACCTGTGGACTGAAGGGTCCCAGGTTAGATTCCGGCCAAGGGCACATGCCTGGGTTGCGGGCTCGATCCCCAGTAGGGGGCGTGCAGGAGGCAGCCAATCAATGATTCTCTCTCATCATTGATGTTTCTATCTCTCTCCCTCTCCCTTCCTCTCTAAAATCAATAAAATATATTTTTTAAAAAAGTGAATTAGATTTTTTACCAGTTGATTAGAATCCATTTCAGTAAGGTAATATTGAATGAGAAAAAAGATACAGAAAAGTACCTATTTTAAGATCATTATTTTTTTAAAATAATGATCCCCTGGTTCCCATATATATCGGTGCATATTAGCATGGAAGAATACAACCTACTGTGTCATCATGAATTACAGGATGGGGACAGGGGAAGGCCAATACAAATGGGGTCAGGAGGGAGAGAATACCAGCATAAATAAGAAAAAAACAAAGTCTGCACTAAAGATCATATCAAAACGAAATAAACTCAGTATATATGATCTTACACGTATGTGTGTAAAAGTATATGTATATAAATGTAAAAAGGACAAGTCAGCTTTTATTTTTAAGGCTGCACAATACTGGCTATCAGATCATACTTCAATTCATTTATAGAAAAACCAAAATAGAAATGGAAAAATGACCTCTGGATCTGAACTCATCCAAGGCCTAGAATAGTGACACATCTTACCTCTCCCCTACAGTTGCTCCACTAACAGATATTTATCTCTTACACCACCTTAAAAACAGCAAGGAAAACATCTTAATGCCTTGTTTGTGAGGTATTGCACAATGATCTCTCTTAAGGAAGATGCTAAACTAACATTCTTATCTCCCATCACCAATAAAGTTCCCAGAACTCATAGGTAAGTTAGGCTGGAAGCCAAGTCACCTTTCAGGCAAGCTAGTAATTAACCCTCACATTGGAAAATATGAATCATAAAAATTTTTAAGCAACAACCAGGAGATAATGGATTCTTCTTGATCAGGGGAGATAAAAGAAGGGTCCAACCAAATATCCATAATGTTTAAGACCAAAGTAAGATTATTTCTTACCCAAATGACATGATAGATACAAGTGCCCAGAGCAGTGTTAGACCTGTAGTGGACTAAACACATATCAATTCTCTTTTCTTTCCAAAAGGATTTTTTGCATGCTTTTTTTTAGTATCAATTGTCTTGGTGTACTTACCTTACTTACACAGGATTTTTCAAAAATGTTAACTGTAGCAACATATAAGATATTTGAAAATACATGTCCATGGTTCAGCCACACACAAACTACAGCAACTAATTCTGGGGTTATTATGAAAACAAACAAACAAACAAACAGAAACATCCCTGCTATAACTATGGCTTACCTTCCTTCCATATTTAGGATACACACCAGTTCATCCTCAAAAAATATCTCTGGCCCCTCGAGATTCTCAATGTCACTAAAACCGTTACAAGGGACCTATGAAGAAGACATATACAAACAGGCCTCAGTAACGAGTACTAATGTCCTTGTCACGCTCATACACAAATCTGAGTTGCAAAGAAAGATGGTCATTTTTCTCTAAGTGGTAACACCTATCCCATACTATCCTGTACCACCTGCCATGGGTGGAAAGTAATAATACTTTGTTCAGATCTTTTTGTTGCAAATTAATTATATTTTCTTATAATTTCATGAAATTTCTGAAGCTGATAACTCGAGAATTCTAATGTGAAGAAAAATAGCTCTGTAACAAGAAGTAGAAATGCAAAATCAAATTCACAATCACTATCTCATGCATTCTGTGTTGCATTTAACTAGGAGGGAAGGGCCAGAGAGAGATGTCCAGTGCTTTGGGCTACTCAACCCACTGGGCATGCTTTCTCCTCTGCAAATTGAGGCAATGGTCCCAATGAGCTTTAAGAATCCCTCAGTTTAAAATTCCATTACTTCTCCCACTTTTCTATTTGAAGGTAGCCAGGAAACTTCATGTCAACCTGTGTGCATGTGGAGAACACAGGAATAAAGGGTCCTGAGCCACAGTCATCGCCCACCCACAGAGCAATCTTAAGGATACTCCTGCTATGTTCAAAGTCCTCGACATAATTCTAATTAAGCAGCAGTACAGGGAAAGAGGGAGCTAAGGAAAAAACACAACAGTTCATCATTGTTAGACAAAGGCACAGGCTGTTAAAAATGCACACAAAATCAGCTAGACTAGCAGCAGAGGTCGAAAATTAGTTGCCCATGACCAAGCGCATGAAATACATGTGTGTGCAAACACTTTTAAACAAGCACCTAAAATCTGTGATTCTGAATGCGTTGTCAGGGCATGGCTTATCCAAAATGGAACATGAATTTTGTCCATTCTAAAATTAATAATCATTTATTTATAGAAATGAATGACATTAGGGAATATCCAGTTGTATTCCCCATAGGAGAATAAGTTCAAAATTTGAACTTTCCTTTTCAAAACTTAAAGAGCCTTGAAAACATTTCAAATGTATGAACTCCATTAAGTAGCAGTAATTAAAATTAGAAAATAGGAATTAATCTGCAGGAAACCAGGATAGTAAAATAAATCAGACTGGCTGTGCTTCTAGCCCTCCCACCCCCATCCCACCAGAAGTACATTTAAAGGATTAGTGTGGACTATTTTCCAGAGTGACAAAAAGTTAAGAATCAGGACCTGATACAGAAACTTCTATGAATGCTTTATGGAAGGAAAAACAAAAGCAACAACAACAAAAAAATGCATTTCAGCAAGATATAAGAGAAAACTTTTCAGAGATAATGATGCAAGACCATTTACTTGAGGGAGTAATCATTCTGATTTACAGACAGCTTTTAATCCTGTTGGCTTAAAAAACAATCAGTTCACTATTGGTTAGAACCTGCAAAGCCAGAGAGAAGAACCGTATTCATTTCGCCAACCCTTTTGGGCAAACAATTGGGTGAAATTTGTAAGTGCTCAATTTTTGATGATTCCCCTAAGTCAGGTGGAGGTTGCAAAAACAAACAAACAAACAACCCCCCCCCCCCCCCCCCCCCACACACACACACAAAACATGGTTAACCCACTGGTAGAGAACTAAGGCTGATCTGCATTCCCTCATTGTGCTGCTTGCTGGTCCCTCCCTCCCTCCTCTCTCTCTGGCCATAGAAAAGTAAAGCTGGCAGGACAAATGGCTGCATGCTGCTGGACGGGAGGAAGAGGACACAATGCCCCTAGCAGCCTTCTCAGTGAGCAAGGGGCAGTGAGAGCACTGGAAAGGGAGATAGCAGAAAGGCTGGATGAGCTAGTGCCTGCAGAGCCACACACACACACACACACACACACACACCCCCACCCCACCCCCCACCCCCCAGGCAGAAGCCTGGCGCGGCGTCCCCAGATCCTTACGTGCTCGGAAAAGAACCTCTTGGAGAAGGAGGCTACAATCTTCCGGGCCTCTAACCCAGCTTTCTGCCGAACTTTATACTCTTCCAACCAATTGACGTAGTCGGTGGGGCTGTAGTGTTTCATAAGGGAAGGCCACCTACAGACAAGGAGACAAACACCCGCTCAGCGTGCCCGAGGCTCAGAGGCGGGCGGGCGGCAGGAATGAAAGGCAGCCTTGGAACACAGGGGGCGCGGGTGGTTCAGTGGTCAGAGGGGGGGGGGCGACGGACAGACCTCGATCAAACCCCCGAGCGGCAGGCGTGACCTTGGCCCCGCAGGATGAATGCTGCCCCCCGCTCCCCATCTATAAAGTGGGGGCGGTGGTAGCGGGAGGAGCAGCGGTGACAGTTAACAGGGATGGGGCGCCTCCGAAGAGCAGGGCCCTTGCGCATTCGACATGTCCTCTCCGTTACTAACCACCGTCAAAGGCGGGTCTAACGAGCACCGCAGCCGATGAATGAGGCTCAAAACCCCTAGGGACGTCTACCCCAAGGTCATCCGGCGAGTGCGCCGGGGCCGGATCGGATCC